GGTAAGTATGAAGTGTCTTACTGGACAGAGAGCGGCATTGGTTTGATCAAGTGTTTCCACGAGAGTCTCTGGAAGGGGATCATCAGGTAGCCTGATGAAGCCTCATTTGATACACTTACCTCTTCTCGGTAATTTTAAATTCTTCATATAGTCAAATAATAAATTCATTCACGCTTCTCAGAGATGTCTTGAACAGACATTTAATTTCCAAACGCACAATTTACATGTGATCGTATTACAAACAGTATCTGTAATTATTATTTGAGATGTTAATTTGCTTACGTTTTATAGTGAGCCAAAAGTAAATTAAAATCATTTTTAAGCCTGCTGATTCAAAAAGGTAATTTGTAGTTTATAAGAAAAAAGTGCCAGTTACATAACTGAAGTACCTGATGTGATTTTGCCATAGAGCTCTACTCTCATGCATATCCCATTTTTCCAAAATTTTGGTTGGAAGCGAACGTAGCGAGCCCTTATTGGAGTATCCAAGGTGTGATACACGACTGTGTCCTCGTCTGTGTTTCCTGCGTATAACTAATTTAAGGGAAAAGAGGATTTTAGAGAATCCAGAAAACATAGATAATTCACATGAGATATTCTCCTCTGTTTTATGAAAGAGGTATTACGGTGTCATCCAGTAATTATTCTAACGTACTTTGGTAAAGTAAATAGAAACATAGTATACGGAAATGAACATTAACAATGCTGATATTGAAAAACATTCGGATTCAAACAGGGAAAGTCAACTGTTACCTCAGGATCAGTGCAGTAATTATGCTTATTATTCATTTACAATATTAACCCGATTCTGATTGTCTAAAGCACACGCATAATTCACCATAACCAGCTACCGATGACCAAATTTGAAAGAATTTTGCGATTAATCAACCGATGACGTCAAAAGTGCAGCTTCCTTGAAGGTTAATGCCCCGTTAACCGAGAAGACCTGGGGACGAGGTTGAGTTGTTTTGGTTGTGAAAACAAAAATGGCGGATCACACAAAAAAAACAAGCTTTTCTGTCCCCTAAAGAGGCACTTTCACCTAATTCAGACGTTTAGACAAAAGTATTTCAGCTTTGTGGAACTCTAAAGAATTATATATAAGCTCTGGGATTTCGTTATGAAAAACGAAATAAGCTTACCCGATGGTCGGTATGAAACAATTTACTATCAGTGCTGTATTCTAGTTCGTATTTGGTTACACTTAAAACAGATTTCGACTTGCGATCTCTGCACCCTTGTGTTGCTACTCCTGTCACTGTGTAATTGTCAAGAAGAAGGTCAACTTGCAGCCATTCAATGCAGCTACTGTTTTTAGGTTGCCAACCGAATGGTCTTCCTGTTCGTGAAGTGTTATGACGTAATCTTCCATTAGCGGCTCGATAGGCTTCCCCTTCTGAGGAAGCAGTTATTTGGTCGTCAGCAATCTTTCCATTTTCCATTCCAAGAGCCTCACGGCATCTCCCACCTGTAAAGGAACATATCATTCTACAGCTAAACATTGCGGAGTTTGTCGTTATCATTATCAATAATGCCTACTGGTCGAGCCGCAGAGGCTACACAGTAATTTTCAAGGAGTCATAATAACTCCTCTAGTGGGATTAATTTAACTCCTTACAGCGGAGTTATTTTTCGGGGGAGTTATTTTAACTCCAAAAAGGAGTGTAAAGAACTCTTTTTCAGGGGCAAAAATCACCCCAGATATTGAGGAGTTAAAATAATCCCCCAAAAAGAGTTATCCTGCACCTACAATTTTTACTTCACTTTCAGAGTTGAGGTAGCTCCAAAAAGAGTAAAAACAACCCCTTTAAGGAGTAAAAATAACTCCATTTTCGGAGTTATTTTAACTCCAGACTGGGAGTTAAAAAAACTTCTTTTCAGGAGTAAAAATGACGGCAAATTTGGAGTTAAATCAGGAGTTAAAGTAACCTCATAATTACCTCCAGGAGCCCATCAAATTGATCGGCTCGTTATTTGTTATTTCAACTGTGATCTGCGTTAAAATTCTCAAAAATTCTCTTCCTCGGTAAGGTTACGATTCAGTTTCTACATCAGCTTCGTTCTCATTGAAACAAAGCTAGGTTAAAATTTCGAAAGGCAAAGTCAACATCCCAGTCCTCAGGGTTTACAGACATATTTTCAAAGTTTATTCGGTCAAAACTAAGAGCACTGTAAGTATTCACTTGTTAGTGTGACGCTGGAGTCTTTTGAAAACTGGACATTGTGTCTGGCTCAAACTCGCTTCTATCTTTCTTTGGTTGGTCTTTGAAAAAAACACTGCAAATGGCAAAGAAGCTTATCAAGATGATCGGGTGCTGGTATGTTTGTTATCATATTTGTCGAAGGAATTACTCAATTCTCTTAGGCAAAACATCTCGAATCTCTGCCAGTCGATTTTCGTCTTCTTAACTGTGTACTGGGGTAAAATTATCAAACACCGACTAGAATCCTCTTCGATAAGATTACGAGTTAGTTTCTTCATCGCCTTCGTTCACAAATAAACACAGTTTAAAATGTCCCCAACGCTGACAGGCGTCTTATAACTTTATTTAAACCTTTTTTCCGAGGTAAAGAGATTTAAAGCTCCGACATGAGCATTTTCTTTAAAAATTTTGGTCCGTATAGAAAGTTGCAGACCGCAAATTGACCAATCGCATGGCGAAAACAGACTCAGCCATATAATAAAAGGGGTCATCCTGTACCTGAAATTTTTACTCCAGTTTTGGAGCTATAACAACTCCCTAAAAATTACTATGTAGAAAACATTTTGTTATCTATGACTTAAACTGTAAGTGAAGCGAACGAATCATAAAATGAAGTAATTGTTTTGTTTGCCATAAGTTATGCAAAGCAAAAAAATCTAATTATTTAAACTGTCATGGCGAGGAAGCCCAAGAGAAGCCACCGGGCTAAGACCAAAAGACCACATTTTGTAGCTAGTAAAAAGAACAACAAAAAGTACAGTGAAAATAAAAAACAAACAAACAAAATAAAACAAAACAAAAAACAAGTCAGGAGAAAAGAACGGGGAATCAGTTCTCTGACTTCGGAAACTTTCCAAACAGACTTTGGAAATTCGTCCGCCTCCGGCGAGAGTTCCTAATCCCTCCATCTATAAACGGGGGATGCACGACTATTCTTTAAGCGGCGGACGTGGCGAGCTCGAAATAACATGATATATCCCCTCTCCTCTCCGTATTTAGCAGCTGAGTACTAGGTCACGTAGTAAGAATCATGACCTGTTAATGTTTGTGAGGTTCGTTTGTTTATAATATCTACAAGGGCAGCATTGTCAGTGAAAAACAAGACGCAACTATTTGCATTGGTGGGCCCCCAAATATGTAGTGTGAGAGAAATAAAAAAGGCTGTAGTAAAGTTTGATTTTAAAAGACAGTGCCATACTATAGGAAAAGGGCCTTAAACCCAGTGCTTTCCAAATATCGCTCTGTACCTCTTTGATGCCAAGACATCTCTATATAATTCGAGAGTCAATAAAGTGTCCCATAGCTCTGACAGAAAAAAATTAAACGTTCTGTTACAATTATCTGTGTAGCCACATTCAGATGCCATGTTTATCTTAGGTGTTTCAACAGCGAATGTGATGGTGGGGGCATGTAACGCCTGTGGTAAGATCGATGCAGCGCAAAAAGGCGCGGCCTGGAGTGACCACGGAACAACAAAAGTTTAATGGGCCAATTAACGACTGTAGTTCGCGCAAAGTGACTGATCTTTTCTGCGCAAATTGATGGACATTTGTGAATCTTTTCTGAAGGTAACCTGGCTTCTTGCCTTACAGAATCTAATTCGATTTCCGCAAACTGTAGAGTGGTGTAGGAACCGTAACGTTTTCACGTGCACATACTAAAAAACTTACAAAGATCCTGGCTTTGCATTTGTCATGACTATAGGCACAATAAATTGAGGTTTTCTATAAAAATTGATCAAGGAATTCTTTGCACTCCAGACTTAGTGTATTAACTTTGTTTCTTTGAACTCGTAAGTTACTATTTTTAAAGAGAAAGCATCAAATTAATATATGAATTCAAGGAGATTAGCTGGCTTTGAATTCCAATACAAATCTTTGAATTTCCCGCCATCACGTCCTGATTACCCATGATGGAACTATGAGCGTAAACCCATCTGTCGTACGGAACCGCAGTCGTCCGCAATCGTTAACAGATAAGCCTTTCGGATATGACAGATGGTGGATTAGCCTAAACTCATTTGGGATCTTTTTGGGAACTATGACTGGACGAGCGAAGTACGAAAACTAGGAGAAGTTGCGGTGTGGAAAGGTCCCGATCCCGCAATCCTCCCAATCTTCCCAATGTCATGTTCTTTAGATAGTTTCAAAAATAGAATGTCCGGACTTTGCCGTGCACTTTTTAAAAAAGGGGACTCAAATGAAGTAATTTCCCCTATGAAGTTAAATCGAAAACCGTTGATTAAATATTGCTCAGTTTGGGTTCGGTCGTAGTTCGCATTAGGAGCTGTTCAAACCGTTCCATTCTTACGGGGGTTTTCTCTATGTATGCAAGACGTCTGCTTCGTCGTCAAAATACAATATACAAAAAAGAAATAAAATAAATAAATTTCTAGCTTGATTTCGTTACAATGAGGTTTTAATGTTTTGGTTTGCTTGCAGAAGTTTTCTTTCGCTTTTCACAAAAGTCTACACAAAAGGCTACAACTTCTTCTGCTTAAATTTAGACGAAAAAGCTGTCAATGAAATTGAAAGCGATAGGTCCATTGAAAAAAGAGAGGTTGGATCGCTCGCAGTTGATGACAAAGAAAAATCAAACCTAGTCAACAATTTCTTCTCTAACATCGGAGAGAAACTGGCTGACAGTTTCCAGCCCCAATATCTATCTCACCAGGCCACGTCAACAACGATTGTTCCCTGTGTCAATAACATTGCACTATCGCCTTTGGCCATTGAGAGAAAATTAGCTAATCTCAAAACAAATAAAGCGACAGGACCCGGCGACATATCACCGAAA